GACAGCTGGGCTGAGCCAGCCGTGATCTCACAGCTGGCTCCGCTCAGTTGTAATGACATATCAGTGCCCCCAAATGACCTGGGGTGCTGATCTGTCATTAAATAATAACAACTGGGTGGAGCCGGCCGTGACTTCATCCAGGTGAGCGGAGCTAGATGTTGAGCGGAGCTCAATGTCCCTGCTAGGTTCTGCCCAATTGTTTTTCTTTTTCCGGCATCTTTGCCTGGCATTTTTTAAATTATTTTTTCTTTTTCTCTTTTTTATTTTCTTTAAAATATTTTAATTTTTAATTTTAATTTGACTATTCACTAACTGCTGTTCGGCCCCTATCAGAATAGGGGTGAATGGCAGCGAGTGAGCTTCGGCCCAGATGTTGGATCAGCTAAGTCAAACTCTTTCTGCACTTCAGCTCAAACGAACATGCAGAGCATGTTTGGCTGACCGAAGGCAGCCAATGTATGGCTGATTTTAGCCGATGTATGGCTGAAATCAGCCGTACGGAGCAGAAGTGAATAGCCGAACAGTGTTCAGCTCACTTCACTTAGGCTAGGTTATTCACTCGGCTGCCATTGGCAGCTTTGTGAATAAAGCCCTATGAAAGGCATTTATCAAAACTGGAGCAGACAAAATCTGGAGCAGCTGCGCATGGCAACCAATCAGCTTCTCTCTTGTATTTTCAAACCTTAACTGAACAAACTGAAGAGAGAAGCTGATTGGTTGCCATGGTCAACTGCTCCAGGTTGTGACTGCTCCAGTTTTAAAAAAATCTCCCCCTTCCTGTGCTGGAGGCACATGAGGAACAGCCAGGGTGGCTAGGAGAGACAATGAGGCTGAGAGGGCCAGGAGATTATGAGGCTGAGAGAGCCATGAGGTGTGGCTTCAGATTCACACAGGTGTGTGGAAAGCCTCTAGGAGCTGCTGAATGGTAGTGTATAACTGCTGAGGATGGTACTTGTTGAGAAATATGCCAGAGTTCTGGAATTGGGACACCTATACTGTGTATAACAAGCTTGGGACAGTGAGACCGTTAATATTATTTTGCTGAAGATAAATTAATGTTATGTTTGTTATGCTGAACAAAGCTACTTCAATTCATAAAGAAAAAAGAAAGTGTCCTTTTTATGTTAAAATGGCTTCAAGGGTGGTCACTAAGTGCTCACCATTGTGCTAATATCCCCAAAATATCACAGTATTTTGACACTAGCAGCCATGCTCAACTTCACTGCTGCTGGTGTGCGCATCCCCGAACAGTGATGATGCACTCAATCTGGCTGCACCACACTGTTTGTATGTTGTAAAATGGCTTGTAAGATTCAAAACTGCATTGCGTTAACAATTCCACGCATACTATCCATTGTTCAATGTAGACCACTATGTGTTTGACACTACACCAACTTTACCCCTGGAAGGATAGTGGGTCATGACTTACAACCACCTATACTAATCCATGTCTCTCCCAAAATCACTGTCCTTCAGGTAATTGATGAAACCTCTTGCCAGGTGCGAGACATTCTTATAGTGGGAAAGATGCCCAATTCAACAGATGATCATGTATACAAGCCTTTAGGGATATCCCTCACCAAAACACTGGTTGAGTTCAAAATTGCAGTCACATCTGAAATTCTTATCTTTACTTCGGAGCTACACTTGATTTTAAGTGCTCCCGGAGCTGTTGGTTTTGTTGAATGTACATCTTCACCTTTATTAAGTAAAGTATAAACTTTCCTAGTAAAGATATCCATTATTCTAATGAAAGTTTTAAATCTAAGACCCCCGTGTCTAAGCTCAACATTTGATCATGTGGTCTGAAGTTATTTCACAGGAATACCTGCAGCTTTGCAGCCATTAGTAGATACATGAATGTGTCTATTCTCACAGGAGAATTCAAATGACAGCAATTAGAAAGAAAAATGACTTAAGCAGGTTATTATAGCCGAACTGGGATTTCTGCAAACTGTGCTAGTGTCATTTCCATTCTTTGTATGAACCACATGTTAGACAAAAGCTGGTGGCTGGTGAGTCATCAACTTTGAACATCTTCTCCTCTAAGTCATAAAAGCTCCAGAAATATGTTTGTATTATAAACCATGTCATCACTTAGATGAAGAAGAGACATAAAAAAGAATAAGGCTAGAATGCATAGCTTGCATCATGAGTTATCTGAAATAACATTACCTTTATGTAGAAGTGCTTATAAAGTCTCTGAATACTTCAGTGCACCTGGAAAATGCAATTTTGTTTGGCACTAGTCCAATTCAAGCTAATTTCATCAATGGATTTCTGCATTTGCTTTTGTATTATAAATAATCCACCCATATTAATATTTGCGCACACTGTAAAACATTTTAACTATGGTAGGGGTATAACCAACTGAGAATGAAGATCTAGAGAGACCAGCATAGATACTGCAGAATATCTTTTACGTTGGAAACATTCCGCTCATTCATTGCTGCAAATTAGAAACAAACTAAAGGGCACTGCCTATTCGGAGCTCTTGTGACATAAGACTGGATGCACAAATCAAGTGAAAAAGGAATATCGCAAAGATCTTCCCTTTCTGAAACCAATGAGCTTAACTTGTGAATATTGTATTTCTTAACTGTAACCTAAATTGAACTTAGAGAACTTAGAGTTACAAAAAAGCCATGTGTGCCACAGGGTGTCTATTATAACCTTTGTTAACCATTTTACACTTGCACCACACTCCTGTCCAATTCTTTGGCCACTAAGGAACTCATATTTGAAAGAAAAATTAAGTTAAGAGAGGCTTACACTTAAAGTTAGGAAAGTCAAACCCTTAGTAATGAAGTGAAAACAAATTCAGAGCAGGGTGCAAATTAAGGTGTTCTAAATAATAAAGCTGAAAGACGATAACTTGTAGTGCCTGCTCTTAGATAATAATTCCCCTTTTAATGGAGACCTGTGTTGGCAGGCTAGCACTGCTGTCCTCTACATCAAGTTGCCTTGCTCTAATGTGTATATAATGACGACAGAAAATCAGGCAAATCAGGAATTTAACTTAATTTACTGCATGCTTCTTCTATGTCAGTGATTCAAAAAGTACTGACGTCAAAGGCTTAGCATGTCAACCAAACAATTTACATATTAAATAGGTAGTCAGCCGATGTTTATTTTAAAAGACTAGCCGACAGGCTTGTTACAGGATACGTTTTAATAAAATGTCCTTATGTTGGTATTTGTTAAATATTTGATGGAAAGCAATACATTTACAAGGTAAATGATCATTTGCAGAGTATCATGATATCTGTTTTTCCCAGATGATCTGTATACTGTATATAATGAACATCTCAGAGCTCCTCATTGCTTCTCTGTCTACATATACTCTATAGGGCTGTTCAATTTGAAAGGGAATTTTCACTTTGAAAGGGAATTTTCACTTTGCAAAGTAAGCCCAATTTAGTTCAAGGAACAAAACCTGTATTTTTGCTTACACACAATTGGATGATGGAAGTTAGCGGAGCTTTACGTAATTCACTAAGCTAAGTGAAAACTTCCCTTGCAAAGATTCCATATTTGCCTTTAGTAAAGTGAACAGCCTATTTGTCTGTACTAAATCACCTGTTTGTGTATATACAGTATACGGTCTATATATTTAATTTATTCTTATTGCTTTTTTTTAACTTTTTCTCATTTGTGTGTTCTTCATTGTATTAAAGTACTGCACTTAAATTAAATCCATACTGACAATCTGAGTATCTGCCGAAGAAATGGCTCTGCAGTGTTTTGTCAAGTGGCTTGGTAAAAATGTGATGCCCGTGTAATAGAAATGCTGCATATCTCAACCCCTTATGCTTAGACTGGAAATAAATGCAACAGTGTAGTCAACTCTACAGGTGAAACTCGAATAATTAGAATATCATGCAAAAGTAATTGCAGTAAGTGCTGCAAAAGGGGCCCAAACCAAGTACTGAGTACATATGCATGCTTGTACTTTTCAGAGGTCCGATATTGTTCTATGTACAATCCTTGTTTTATTGATTGCATGTAATAATCTACCTTTTTGAGGTTGTGGATTTGAGGTTCTTGGGGTTTTCATGAGCTGTAAGCCATAATCATCACAATTATGACAAATCACGGCTTGAATTATCTTGCATTGCATGTAAAGAGTCTATCTCATATATTAGTTTCACCTTTTAAGTTGCATTAGTGAAATAAATGAACTTTGCACGATATTCTAATTATTCGAGTTTCACCTGTATATTACCTCCTGTGAAACGATCTCTCTGTTTCTTTTAGGGCAGCCTAATGGTACTCTAGATAGCAATGTTCTGTTAAATGTTGAGGTAAAGTGGATCAGCAGAATCAGATAGTCAACATCTGCTCTGGGGATTTATTTTCCTGACTCGTTCCTGATGTTTTCATAGCAAAGGTTTCTAGGAGAGAATTAGTGACCAGTGGTAATAACAAACTAACTGAAAAATAATCACAGGCATTAAGTAAAATAATACACATATGAGGCAAAGTCATAGCCTATTTCCTCAAGGGTGATGTAACACTTTAAATATTGTATTAAAAAACAAATAGCATCATATTTTTCTCTGCACTCTCCATGTGATCATAAAAATTCTGGCAAACACATTACTGCATGGTTTAAGAGACCCTGTTGACAGACCTTTTGTTTCAACAACAATCTTCCTAAGAGTTTACATGTGCATTTAAAATGACACTAAGCTCAGGAGTTAAATCTAAAAAATGCATTCAGGTTCCTTCACTATTAACAAAATTGTTACTTATTTATGTATCACTCAGCTGTAGATTTTCAAATCATCTCTGAATTGGTGCTGACACTGTCCTTCCTTCTGGAGGGTGGCTACTTTTGTTCCTCATGGTCCCTGTGAGTGTTGTAAAGTAGCCAAAACTCCAAGCTCACCCCCGTGATGGACTACAATGTCACATTTAGTTTACTCATTTATATTGAAATTCGAGTCCTTCATGGGAGCGAGCTTGGAGTAGTGGCTACTTTACAACACACCCAATGACCATGGGGAACAAAAGCAGTGTCAGCATTATTTCAGAGATGATTTGAGGATCCACAGCCGAGTGATGCACAAACAAGATACATTTTTGTTAATAGTTAAAGTACTTGAATGTATTTTTGAGATTTAACTTCTGACTTTAGTGTCACTTTAATGCATGTTAATTGCCTACAAATCCTCTATTGTGCAGACATTGAAAAGCCCTAAGACTGCTTCTGGGCGCCACCATCTTTGATGCAACCTCAGCAGTCTAAGCAGACTCAGAGCTGTCAGTCAAGTGACACTTTATAGTATTTCCCTTTCACTCTTCCCCCAGAAGCTGCATAAAAGTTTATGTAGGGAAGTGGGGAATGGGTGGAGGAGCTAGGTTGGCACATAAAATTAGCCCTGGCTGGCCACTGAAGAGGCATCTAGGCACTTCTGCATCCAGAAGTATGTGTGTATCCCACCTCAACCTAACCACTGAACCATCACATTCTCAAATAATTCATCCCCACACAGCTACCTCCTCATGTATCATTTCCCACTCCTCTTTTAGATTGTACGCTCTCAGGGGCAGGGCCCTCCTTGCCATCTTGTCTTGAATTGTATTGTGATTGTAATGTCTTCCTTATATTGTAAAGCGCTGCACAAACTGTTGGTGCTATATAAATACTATGTAATAATAATAATAAGAAGAATAAGTGTAAGTTGTTAAAAGCTTTTACTGACTAAATCCAAAAAAATATGCTTTTGCTTCTTTTTGAAGAAGCCACCCAATCACTTCTATAGCTCAGAAACTATGCTCCCCCAGTGTTGTGGGCTCACTAGAGTACTCTGTGAGCCTGGAACATCACCACTTTCAGCATGGAGAACCTAAGGGGGTTGAGCAACATCCATTTTCTAATCTCCTTTATGATCATCAATGAACTCGGAAGTGCTCAGCTCTGAGCCATGCACGTACATCATGTGATGCCATGCGCTCCGCCTCCAAGATCTCGATATAGCCGCCGCTCATTCGGCAAATTCATTTATATATGTCCGAATATAGTTTGCATATATTCTGACATGTAATACATTTGTGATTTTCATTGATTTGCAGGTTCATCAGAATCTCAATGCACATGCCTAATTATCATGGCGCCAGTTATGAATGAACAGGAAGTACTATACATCACTTTCTTTTCATTCATGATTGGGGCATAGTAATAGCTTACTATGTGCTCAGTTTATGAATGATGAGCATTCAGTACAGAGGCTTCCTGTCTATTCATAACTGGGGAGAGTTCTATGTGCTCTGTGCTTCCTGTTCATTCAGTGATGGGGCTGTAGAAAAAGAGATTGAGGACTCTTTGTCCTCAATCTCTTTTTATATTTCTAAAGGAAAATGTCAGGGGTGTGTTTAGACCCCAGATATTTCCTCAAAGCCCCCAACAGTAAAAAAAAAACCATCAAACATGGTTTAAAAAGAAATAAAACATAACCCCTTCACACATACACACATAACAGACACATACAACAGGGTGTGCCATATTGTGGTGTACATCATGCACATGCGTCGTGGTGCATGGTTAGAACACATCACAGTGCTTAATATTTTTCTTTCTTTTACTTTTTAATACAACATTAATTTACCTGTGTGGCAGTGCATGGCAAAGCGTTGCGACACATTCCCATGCATTGTAATAAGCTGTGTTGCGATTAAATGTATGCCTGCATGATTTTATCGCAACACACACCAACACAGCTCAAAAATGGCAATGCAGATCAGGCATTACCACAACACAGATTTTTAGCGTAAGTTACTTATTTACAGTTTTGTGTTCCTTTGTTTTTTTTTACAGCTTCGCAAAAAAGCACAATTTAAAATTGACAAATATTTGTATTTTTAACTCAATACAGTTTTATCTTTTAGATTTAGTCGGAATCTTGTAAATTATTATTTTTTGTGTGCGCTGATACTGGTTTTAGTATGTTTTTATGGATTTAAATGTGTATTTTTCAATTTTCTTTATTGATTTGATGAACTATTTGCACAATTATCACAGGACCTACAAAATTAGTAGCACCATCTTTTTATTCTACTAGCACTGTGCTTTCAGGAAATGTATGGTTTGGGGGCCTTTTACAAACTCTAAAAGCAGCAGTTGAAAAGGAAAAAAGAAGTAAACAAATTGCAAAAAATGGTCTGGCCAGCTGAGGTCAAAAGTGTTAGGCAGGGCTTGATAGTAAAGGATAAAAGGGGATTTTAGCATGTGTGCATAAAAAAAGGCCTGGCAGGGGAAGGGTTAAACATAAACTATTTATTATTATTATTATTTTTTTTTTTCTATTAATTAACTATTATTTATAGGATTCAGAAATGCTCTGATGTCAACCAACTGGAAACACATGTTTTGGCACCGATATTTTCTTCTTGCCTTTTTCAAACCAAAGGACATCATAATGAAGAGCTTCATGTTGTAGAAGAGCTCATTAAATTCTATGCAGAGATTTTTGATGTGAGTAACACATCTAAGATTTACACTCTTTGAGGTAATTACAATACAACATTGTAATCCACATATCTGTTTTACAGATTAGTGAGGTACAGCTAAAACAGATGGACATTGAAAACCGTTTCATTACCAAGTGGAATGATACTCAGGTAATATGCAGGAACCCAACACTATGTAACTATGTAACTATGTAACAGAAGTGCCATCATTTATTAACTTATGAAAGGTATGATACTGTAGATCTTCCTGTATACTGTTTCAGATTATATTCTTTTATATAAACCTGTGTGTCAGTTCACGTGAGGAACTTCTTTTTAAAGCTACAGTCGTACCTACTGTTTTGATATTTATTATAGGTTCCAATTCCCCAGACTGGTGACTTACTGCTTGATGTGTATTTGGAAAGAAAAGATCCCAACATGTGTGTTATTATTAAGGTAAGGTAAAAATCGAAACCTATTGATAATATCTATAGTCTTAATACAGATGGTGCAAACACAGGCTTCTTCTGATGATTCCCAAGGAACAGTACATATATCATAGTGATTTCACATGTTATAACACCAATCTGCATGTGTTATAGAGGCAGTATGGGGGAAGGCTTAAAGTGTTCTGCAAATAGTTGTTAAATTGTGCTTGAGCAGATAACGCTTGTTAGTAATATTTTGAATAATTGTTATATTTCTGTATTTATTAATTATTATAGCTTTGCAGTGATGCAATCCAAACCATTTAAAGTAATAGAAAGCAAAGGAAGTCAGTATAATATATGTTTTTAAACAGTGTACAGCATATCAAATAATTACTGAGAAAAATTCTAATGGGTTTCCCAGAAAGGCTGTAAAATATGTCAGAGTTTATCTTAATGATCTCTTTATGCAATATACATGAATAAAGATACATTGGACTGAGGATTAAGCTTGTCAATCCTTCTACTTCTTGTACATATGTCCCTAAAATACTTTTCTCATTTCTTTAAAGCACTGTTTTCCTAGCTGTAATTATTGTAAGGTGACTGCTACAATTCAGTGCAGACACCATGAGGTACAGATACTATGTATACCTTTTGCATTGCATCTTCAGCTCTTGTGGACTCCCAAAACTCAGGGTACTCTGCAAATGTCACCTTTCTCAAAGAAACTCAAGTGTTAACAAACACTCTCACACAGTCCTCCATTGGTTCTTCAAGGTGAAAAGTGGTCTTGAATGGGGAGCTGTGTGAAGTGGAAGAGAATGGGTATTGGATCGTCTTTTGACTATCTCAGAGAAAATCTAGACCTCCATATTAGTTTACCCTGAGGTTTGAGGGTCCTAAGGCATAGAGATACCAGTAGATGCCTGAGGGTTCCTGCATTGCATTGTTGTTGTCAGTATAGCAAGTATACAGTGCAAAAGGATTGCTTTAATTTTACATTGCTCTAGTTTTCAAAAGTTTGAGGTAAATTTAACAATTGTTAAGTTCCCCTAAAATTAATATTTCGATAAGGCTGGATGCTGGTAGACTGAATCCACTACTGTCTTCTAATGTCACTTGCAAAAGCAGGACACATTTTTAATATGTCTATCACAGGCTGCTTCTGCTTTGTTGTTTCTGTGACCCCATATGTTTGTAGCAGCATAGTTCTATATAATTAAAGTAAAACTCCACATTTTGTTTTATTTGTGATTAAATGCCCCATCCCCCTGTATTATTTTAAACATTTGCCAAGGTTTATTTACCCACTCCATTCTTCAGCAATCTCCCCAGCTTCTTCCTCAGTTCAGCCCTGGCAGTCTCTTTGGTCAGACTGACACTTACAATATTCTTCCCATTGCCTGTGAGCCTAACCTGTCATGTACATGCCCCCTGAGGGGCCCATCATCAGGAAGGCTGGGCTCACAGTACTCCAGGGCTAGACATGCTCATGTGTAATTACATGAGCATTGCTCAGTATAAGAAGATTGCCCACTCCCACTGCAACAGAGGAACAGAGGATGAAGAAGAAGTACTGGTGACATTATAACACCAACTAGTAGTATGCAGGAAAACGGGGGGTGGCAACGGGGTCAAAATCTCTGAAGTTCTGCTCTAAGTGGATGAATTACACATAATGTGAATGATTTTATTTATTTTTTACATACAGTGTAGTTTTATTTGTTGCCTGTTGTAATGGATGCAGAAGTTGGTTATACCTTGGAAAAAAAGAAACCATCGGATGATCGTTTATGAAATTTGATGTAATTCAGTAAAATATTACTGTGTGGACATGTAATCAGAAAACACTGTACAATTTGGTGAATAAATATCTTATGGTTATTGTTTTTAGGTGTCATCAACTTTGACTGCTGCGGAGTTAACCAGCTGTGTAGCTGGTATAAAAAATATCACTTTGTCTAATGAAATGTTCTGGACCGCATTTGAAGTATTTGAGAATGGAGAGCTGGGTGTGTTGCCTCTTTGTAATTTTCTATTTATTTTTGTTGCCAAATGTAAAGGGCTTTCAGCATATATTTGTCAGAAATATCACACAATGTACTTTTCCTAATAATATTTATTTTTGATTCTATGGACAAGGGTGTATTAAGGTCTATGGGGCCCTGATCAAAATATTGTGTGAACCCTCTCAATGCAAATCCACCCAATGCTTTTGAATGGAGATCAACCCTTTTACTGCCACAGATGTAGGGCTCACTCTGGAAGATAATTGCTTGCAGCAGGTTGTCCCATTGATTCTTACATCCACTTTATTCTCTGTGTGCTATAAGCACACAGTCACTTCAGCCTTAGAAATGTCCCTGGCATAATAGCTGTTTCTGATCCTGTCCACCGGAGAGCTTTAGGTGGTCTTGCCACTTTTTCTTGTTCCAAACCAGGAACACACTAGACCACTAAGACCAGGATACAAGACATCAGACGCTACTGCACAGGGGACCTTCAGATATTTCCACTGCTACCCTAACTGTGAGTTACCCCCATTTTCTTTACATAGAATATATTGCATGAAAGCAACTTGCACCCCTAAAAGGTAGTAGCGCTCCTTAGCCTTGTTAATTCATCCCAAAGATGTTCTATTTGGTTGAGGTCAATTTCCTCCACCCCAAACTCGCTCATCCATGTCTTTATGGACCTTGCTTTGTGCACTGGTGCGCAATCATATTAGAACAGGAAGGGGCCATCCCCAAACTGTTCCAACAAAGTTGGGAGCATGAAATTATCGAAAACGTTTTGGTATGCTGATGCCTTAAGAGTTCCCTTCACTGGAACTAAGGGGCCAAGCCCAACCCCTGAAAAACCACCCCACACCATAATCCCCCCTCCACCAAACTTTACACTTGGCTCAATGCAGTCAGGCAAGTACCGTTCTCCTGGCAAAAGCCAAACCCAGACACATCCATCGGATTACCAGATAGAGAAGTGTGAATTATCACTCCAGAGAACATGTCTCCACTTCTCTAGAGTCCAGTGGCAGCGTGTTTTACACCACTGTATCTGATGCTTTGCATTGCACATTGGTGATGTAATGCTTGGATGCAGCTTCTCAGCCATGGAAACCCATTCCATGAAGCTCTCTACGCACTGTTGTTGTGCCAATCTGAAGGCCACATGCATTTTGGAGGTCTGTAGCTATTGACACTGCAGACAGTTGGCGACTTCTGCGCACTGTGCACTTCAGCATGTGCTGACCCCGCTTTGTCATTTTATGAGGCCTACTTGATCACTGAGACGGTGGCGCTGTAATCACAGCGCCACCTGTCTCAGCGGTCACTAACTGCAGCTTCTGTCACAGCTTCTGTCATAGAAGCTGTGTCAGAAGCTACTGTCTGTCGAGTGCTCCATAAGGCGCGCTGGACCTCCCTGCGTCCTATGGTCCGGCGCGTCTTATGGACCGCAAAATACGGTATATAACAATTCATACATTAAACAGGGATGCACAAATCCCAGGAGCCCCATAGCCAATGCTCCTCAAAAATGACAACTGCCTCTAACTTTTGAGTTTTTCTCTAGTCTAGTCTTGGAGGTAGAAAAGTACCAGTACTTGTACTTGTACCAAGTATGGCACTTGGTATCTGAACGTCCCTAGCAGAAACTCATAAGTGCTGTATATGTTGGAATTATTTTTCCTTAAAATTCTTTAAAGATGAAACCTGATGTTGCTATTGTCAACAGCCCCTTTTTTGTTATTTGACAGTGGGTCCAGGATGGGTGAAGAGTTGCCCATATAAATGAATACACCGTTTTGTACAGGTTACCCTTTTGTTACTAATCACAATTTAGGATTATTACCTTGAAAAATAACAAATAAGAAATGTCATATTGAAAATCAGACTATAAATGGTTTGCCAGTCGGCAGCCTGCAAAAGAATAAGAGCTGACTGTGTTTCTCTTGAGCTGTAGGGACTCTTGTTACCAGTGCCATATTTAGACATTTAATTAAAACCTGACAGGACTTCTAACCCCTCACCACTCTATCCAAAACTAAAAACATTTGATTTGGCTTTAGATACACTTTAACAACTACGTTTTAACTGTAGAGATCAATAAACTGTAGAAACTAAAACATGTATTGACTGATTTATATTGAGTAATTTTATTCCGTCACAAAATAAAACAAAATCAGTCCATAAATTTTATGGTTTGGGACTTCCCCCTTTAACCTGCCAGATGCGACAAGATGGGTCAAAAAGCAAATGATGTAAATGTAACTCAGAGTTTAAATTAGGCATATACGTGCCTTATATTATCTACAACATTATGTTCCACTAAAGATCATATATTCAGCACAGCTCTAATAAAAAGCTATACAATATGGATACTTATTAATAATGTCATAAAATATATTTTATTTTACAGAACGTCCCATGCATTTTAAGGAAAATGTATTGGAAACAGTTTTAGGATGGAGCATGCTTCCTGACCCTGGAAGTGCATACCTACTTGTAAAGCCTTTTATCACCGTTGAACATCTTATTAATTTTGGTAGGTTACATTTTTCTTCATTATAAATTAGAATTAATTCAAAAAATGCAAAGATTAGAGCAATATAACATGTGTAGAAACCCATAACAACTTTTCAGATTAAAGTTTACTCTAGCTAGATGAGCAAATTTAGATTTGTGATTGATATTGGTTGCCTGCATTTGCATACTGCTTGTACCCTTATTAAATCCCTCACATCTGCAGATATACAGAATCCTTACTTTTTACTATATCTTAGACACATTTACATGGTGTACTGTATGCTGATGTAATGCATATTACATGAATTATTTTATCCAGTCATCATGTGAATTAAATTAAAGGGTAAAGCTGGCCATACAGACCCTAAAAATCTTTTTATAAACTTTAATAATGTCATCAGAGACTTGACAATTTTTTTAAAATTACATTTGATTTAAATATTACATTTTGATGAATGGAGTCTCCCAAACAAAAGCCATATTCACTGTTAGCACTTAGTCCTTGTAATGCTGGGGGTTGCCCCACTGCAAGGGTTAACAATAATTTTTCCCTGAGTTATTCATTAAGCATTTTTTCTAGGCTGCACAGTATTTAAGCATTTTTACTCAGCTGTATTTTGCATTTTGAATTGTAGTGGTTACATGCATAGTGGACCGTGGCTTCCTGGAATGCAGGCAAGCGTTTATAAATTTCCTTCCCTGCCTCCGCTTGTGTGCACTGCCCAGTGCATGCACCATCTGGAAAAATGCTTGTATTTTATACAGCTGGCTATGACTGTTTACATACAAGCATTCAGGAGGCTGTGGAGCTGCCTAATTGCTTGTATAATGCATGGAAATGTGCGCCCTTCCCTCCACTGCCGGCGATCCTGGGCTCCGCTGTGCCTCGTGCGGGCCTGGGCCTGGCATGGCAGCTCCGGGACTGAAGATCAGTGAGAAATCAGCACACGATCTTCTGCTGATCTCCCTCTGGTGTCTGAATGTAGAAGTAATGTGTATTACATCACTTCCATATTTAGCTGTCATTTAGCTTCCACATTTTTCCGGAGAGAAGAGGCTGGTGAAACAGATCTTTGCTTCATCAGCTTATATGGGGGTTCCTGGGTAACATTAGGGTTCTTAAAGACCCCTGATGTCTCCATAAAGAGGACTTGTCACATCCTCTTTGCTATTACATAGGGTTTTTTTTAGCCCCCTATGTGATAGCAATAAAGTTGATACACATGCAAACATGCACCCGGTGTGTCTACATGTGAATATGACGATTGCACCCATTGCACCTCACATGTTACATATCACCGTGAACATCGGAGCATGAGCAATAATTCTAGGGCCCTCAATCACTGTTAACACTAAACTGATGAGCACTAAAAGCTTTTAAAGCATCACCTGTGGCCAATTTTGGATATCGTTGTTTTTGGAATTTCGTGGGCATGCTCAGTTATAAAGATTGAAATGTTTGGTGTCTATTTACCCAACGTGACCCCGTCTTTTACATTTGCTCAAACATGTGGGTAATAATAAATATTTGATAACATAATGTAGGGAAAACATTTTTTTTTCAAATTTTTCAGTACTTTTTTCCTTATATAGTAAAAAATAAAAAACTCAGGGATGATTAAATACCACTAAAAGAAAGATCTATCTGTCCCCCCAAAAATAATATAAAATTAATTTAAGCACAGCATTGCATGACTGAACAAATGACAGTCAAAGTACTGCAGTGCTGAATACTGAAAAATGGCCAAACAACATTTTTTTGTGTTATTTTTTTAAATTATTATTTGAATTTTTTTGTTAGCTTCTTTATTTTTTTTAATGCTGTTGGCTGTTAACATGCTCACAGTTTTCCCTCTCGTGTGCGCGCTGAGTGCCGCACATGAGAGGGGGAGGGGCAGGACGTCTTAAGACGCCCTCCCGCTCCTAGAAGACTCCCGTCCGGCCGTTCACAAACGGAAGGTGGTTAAACTATTTTACTAGGCTTAACTCATGGTTGACCCAAAAGTTCATCTCTAGTAAAAACTGGTCAGTATTTTTTTCATTCTGTGTCTCATTAGAGAGATTCTCATTCACTTTTAGTACTGTAGACTAAACATTAAGTGAGAAGATGTAAGGGAAACCCCCTTTTAGTCAATTGTGGGAACTAGTGTCCCCATTGGAAGATCCCCCCTCTATTCCTCTTCAGGTGGCAAATCTAAATTTTGCATTTAAAAAGAGATTTTGTGGCGCTAAAAACCTCTACTGTGTCATAAACGAATTAACTAGAAATAGAAACCGTGACTCACATATACTGTGATTTGTGCAAATAATCTAAAAGTGAAAAAAATCTCTCCTCTAGAGATATCAATACACAATGAAATCTGTGAATAAAGAAACCTATAGACCTGGGTGGCCCTCAGGGATAGTGGTAACTAAATAAATAAATATTTATATTTAATGTGAACACTGACCAAAAAGGAAAAACAATGGTGACTCAAATAAATTAATAAATATTAAAGTGTACAGTCACTTTGTGCAAGTGATACATAATTAAATGACCCCTGTCTGATTATACAGACCTCTCCACTTATGTAAAAATACTGGTGATCAAAATGAAAAACAAACAAAACAATTCAATCTAAGTTCATATGGTGATAAAAAAGTTTTTGATAAACGTTATGCACCAATAGTGGATACACCAGCACATTATTTAAGAGATTGGAGGACGTTTATCAAAAACTTTTTTTATCACCATATGAACTTAGATTGAATTGTTTTGTTTGTTTTTCATTTTGATCACCAGTATTTCACGGTTTTTCATAAGTGGAGATTTTTTTCACTGTTAGATTATTTGCACAAATCACAGTATATGTGAGTCACGGCTTCTATTTCTAGTTAATTAGTTTATGACACAGTAGAGGTTTTTAGTGCCGCAAAATCTCTTTTTAATTTGTTAGGACTTTCTCAGTCTACGATTGTGGCTGCTTTATTCCTCTGATAGTTCATCCATAAGCGCAGATTAACAGTGTTCAAAATGTTGCATTTGCCTCACTTTCAGCGAGATTGGTGATCAAGACAAAAAGTGAGAGCAAATCTCCTTATCAAGGCTACAGACATTAATAAAAACTTGACAATGGTTCTAACTTCTTGTCACTTTTGTTTCAGTTACAAGTTATGAAATATAAAGACATGCCATTATTAAATAAAATACATATTTATAATTTTAGCTATTTTATTTTAATGTTGACTTGCAATGATAATGTACACAGTTAGCCCTTAAAAGCCACTTAGCTTTAAACTTTCATCAGTTTAGAACAGTCTAGAAATTTAAAAAAAATATTGCTTTTTTGTTGTTTCTGTTCTTGGCACATAGCTTGTTGCTTTTTTAAGTAAACTTGAAAATGTTAACTTAATGAAATATACATTTCCTGATTAGTATTAATAAGGCATTTATATTAATTTTACTTCAAGGCTTTTTCATTTCAGAGAGCAAGAATCAAATGATTAGAAATAATCAATAATGTAATAGCTGACTCATAGCTACATAAATGTAAAAATGACAACATTTGGCTTTAAACACACTATTTTTGCCATTTGTTATTTGATATGTTTCTTTGTTACTGAGTAACGCATTAATAATTTCACAGAACATCTGTGTACTGTATGACTGACAGGCTGAAAACAATGCAGGTCTTAGTATATTATTTCAAATTTAAAATGACTGCCATGTATAACTGTAAACCAACTTGGATGTTAAACTGTAATTGAAAAAAAGGATTTGAAAGCAGCTAAAGTGGTAAAGCATTTATTGAAAGTGTATCTAAAAGTCTTTATTAAATTCTGTTCTTAGCATGCTTTTACTCTTATGGGATAGATTTCCCTGTATTCAATTCACTTGTGCCTACAGCTCATTCTTACCTACGGATCAATGATATCCAAGAGGCTTTGACAATTACGCGAATGCCTTAATCTATCAAGACTTGACAGAGACCTAGCAGACCCAAAGGACAAGTAAAGTCCACAGTTCTACTAGTAGTGCAGATATTATTTTAGAGCTACTTTTTAAAAACAAAAACACTGCTGAAAGTATGTGGCAAAGTAGTTGTATTGCAACTGTAAACCATAGACAATTCACTGTACAACCACAACAATGCTTAATGTAAACCCATGGGCTAAATTTAATTCAATCATCTGGGGGTCCTACTTGTAACCACAAGGCCCACTTGGGTGGAGGCACTGCTACTACAGTTATGTTACAGTCCCAAACTCCCTCTTAGGAGAAGATTTCCAATTTACCTACAGGTAGGTAGCGGTAGCTGATTGGAGAGGGTCATATCACATCACCCCCCTACCGAAACAGGGCTACAATACTATAATCTTTAGTTCGTGTATTTAATTTTGCAGTTATGAAAATATATACAGCTAAATTGAAACACAAGTCTGATGAATGTTATATCATGCTTTAGTGGGTGGTACTAATGTTTAGGCTGATGGAAGAAGAAAAGGTATTTGCTGGGCTTAAAAATAAGTGATTTTTACCAGTGTGCTAAATGTTAACTGGTATTCTAAAGAATAAACAAGTAATGGGAGTTACAGTATTGTGACAGTATGCAATGAAAAGTGTCTTCTACTACCCTTAACATAACATGTTAAGTCAGACGTTTTTAGAACTGGTAGTACACGGTAAGTGGTGATGGGAGGAGGACGAGCTAGGTGTCTCCCCCCCCCCCCCCCCCCACTGGAATGCCAATTTAGTCACAATGATGAAGCAATGGACATTACAACATTGTTTGTTTGCTTACTACAGCTTTGTGGTAAGTCTATCACAGCAACGCAGCAGCTATTTCGCCGATAATTCAATGTTGAAATCAATGTTCAATGTTGGTTGACATGGGGCTGTTCCCAGTCGCAATACGGTCCTCAGGTTTGTTAAAAAAAATTCAGAACAACCGGAAACATTTTTGTTGCTCGTAATCTCTCACATTGAGCTGTTGAACAACCTGCATTTTGTATGGATGGAATTATATATA